ATCCTGTCTCAGTGCCTAACTATTGTGTTCATGAGCGCAGAAGCACGTATTTGGCCAATAAGGGCTTAGGCAAGGTCCCCGCAGACCCCCCCCCCCTACTTCCTCCTGTCTTAGGCTGCCACATTAATCCACTTGTAATGTCACTTAAGGTGGCGTTAGTTTTTAAGGCCCAACAGAGGACTCATACACCTCTTTTGGGGACAGACAAATGCCTGCCTCACCAGTGAGCCAGGACAGGGCTACTCATTCCAGCAGGGGGACTCCAGAGGGATCTGACAACTCTTGTGGGCATAGCAGCCTACCCACAGCTTGAGATATTTTGTGGGGCAGCTCACCCCAGCTGAGGACATCCAGAGTGTTCCAGTAATGCTCTTAGGGTCACAGGTGCCTGTCTTCAACCACAGTGGCCTCACCCAGAGTAGCCACTCCAGCCAAATAGCTTCAGAGGGCCCAGCATCCCTCTTGTGGGTGAAGGGTCTCATCCAAAACTGCTAACACTTTGCCCAGAGTGCCTCACTTCAACAGTGGTGATGCAGATCATCCTAGTGTTCCTCCTGAGAGTACAGGGCCCCCCACACAATCCCAGTGTTCCCATTCAGTGTCACCCACTTCAACAGCGAAGTTACAGAGTACCTCAATGGGTTACAGGGCTCTGCCCAGTGCCCCAGTGACACCATTGAGTCACCCACTCTAGCTGAGGGGCTGCTGAGGTCCTCAAAACCTAAGGTCCTAATCCCAATCCCGAGAAATCTCATCCAGCATCATTAGCAGGTTCACTTAGGGTCACCCACCTCAGCCATAGAGTGATAGGGGCATCCAGGTGCTTCTCCCAAGAGCTTGAGATCTTACCCAGGACCTCAGCAACCCAACACAGTGTCACTCACTTCAGCAAGGACCTCCCGAGTGCCTCCGTGCTTAGGCCACAGAATCTCTCACAGTTATCTCTGACTTTGAATACTGTCAAAGTAACCACACAGAGACTACACTACTGTGTCTCCCTGGAACCAAAACTAAAACACTCTACCCAACAGTTAATATAAAACACATCTACAGGAGGGGGTCTCTCTCCTCAAAAGCCACTTCTGAGTATTAGAAGAAGCAGCTGCTCAACCAGATGCCCAGACATCAATGTAGGGATACTAGAAGTACAGCTCTCATCCAGTACTCACAAGGTACATTCTAGCCTTTTTGTCTTGTTTACCCATAATTTTTTTTTCTCTGACAGTGAGAAAACTGGCCCCCACCATCTGCCATTCATTTGTTTACTCCTTCAACCCCAGAGTACATGTAACGCATTTCAGAATTGTTAACCTGTACCCCCATGAGAAGCAAATTTACTAGCTTGAGTTGTGGTTGTGTATAGTTCCTTTTGTTTATAGCCTTATTATTTTGTCAAAATGTCATTTTTAAAAGTTTGTAATTGTTATTTTGTATCACAGTATATTGATCACCTTTAATGTTAATTTCCAAATATATGTTGATTGCTAAGTTGTCTTTGTAATATTGACTTCTAGCTTAATTTTTTTTTGGTCAGACTTATACTGATCCTTTAAAATATCTTGGGACTTTATGGGCCGGCCCGGTGGCGCACTGCTATAGTGCGCCGCTTGGGAAGTGCGGTGGCTCTCCCGCCGAGGGTTCGGATCCCACATACAGACCGATTCCCGCTCACTGGCTGAGCGAGGCGCGGGAGCA